ATATATATATATATATATATATAGCTCATAGGTTTGCATGTTTGTCACATCTGCTGTTAGATTTTCAAAAATAAAATTTCTATTCTGAAAATGTTGTTGCCACTAAGAAGAATACCTTTCATATAAGTAAGCACATTTAAAGCAGCATTTTGATCAAAAACCTAAAATATATCTAACAGGTCGAGTCTTGACTTCCAAAGTTAAGTGGCCATTATTCCTTTTTTGTCCAAAGCTGGTTTCAAAGTGTCCAGCAGGTGGCACTGATTTCTTTGAGGTGGTTTTTAATAAAATGTTGTTTAATGTTTCATGCAAAGTTTCTTGTTTTTTTTTTCTTCTTACAATTGTATGTGTAATGCCAATTTATTGGTGCTTTTATGTACTTTTATTGTAGGATCCATTTAATAAGCCCACTATTGTTTTATTCTGGTGTAAAGGTATTATTTTATAATTCTCAATTTAGGGAAACTATATTTTTTAATTATTTAAAGAAGAATTGACTATAAATTGTTCAGTAGGTGACAGACTATGTCTAATGTGAGTTCAATATAGTTTTACATTTCCTTTTAAAAAATCTTACAGTAAAATTAAGACAACATGGAATAAAACAGACATGACTTTCATTTCTCTCTTTTTTTTCTACAACCTTTACATTCGGCTCTGATGCATTTAAAACATCACATTTCAATACTTTACACAAATATACTATTAAACATAACTTTAGAGACTAAACAGATATACTTCTGCAACAAAACAAACTGAACGAACGAACCTTTTGGTTATTTTTAACTGCTGTCGTCCTCCTTCACAACCAGGTGAGAGGTGTTCAGTTTTACCAAGCTGTGCTACTTAAAAATAGCTATCTTGCAACAAAGGTGAATAAGCATCTTACTGTCAGTTTTGATCATGACAAAAAAAAAAAAAAAAAAAAAAAAGAAATGCCACTTTGCAATTCCCACCAAAGACAAAAATCTAAACATTTTAACATTACAGATTAAATGGCACGTTACTCCAGCATAAAGCTCTGACAGTTAGAATTTTTAAAGCTTTAAATACTAAATATAATGCTTAATGCTACATACAGGTCTCTCTGTGCAGAGGGAGTGACATTTTGTTTAAAATGAAACAAATAAACAAACAAAAAAATCACTGAATGGGCAGACAAACATTTGAGTTCCAAATTTCAAAGAGCTAAATGCTGAGAGTCTGAACCAAACGTCCTTCTACGGAAGATGAAAGAAAGTGATCAGCGCACAAAAAGTTTCACTAATGTCCTTCAGCTCCACATTTTGAACACCAGGGGGCTTTCATGGCCAACAGATGCTGCACAGGTCATGTGGGGAAATGTTGCATAACAGAAATAAAATCTCCTGATGTCAGATAGGAGTAAGTTCAGTTGGCACCTCCTTTGCTCGGCCATGCTGCTTTTTCCCCGGAGAAGTAGTTCCTCTTGTTTAAGACGCATGCCTGCTAAAGCCTACTGCTTGATGACCACCTGTTCGAAGGCTCCGGTTACGACCCTGGAAAAGAATGCCAGTGTGTTACATGGCTGGAAATTAAGGCTGATATCTGATCTGTTTTTTTTATATGGACTGTTATACGTTTACCAAAGAGTTTCTGCGGATTAGACATGAGATGGGGTGAGAAGATTTGTGTAAAAAAAAAAAAAATGCAACATTTCCTCTTTAGATCTTTTATCTGACATATTGTTGCATTTCTGCATATTTACAGTAAATAGCCAGTGTTACATAACCACACCCACCTCATGTGTTGGCTTCCCAAAGCTGTGCTTCCACCGGGTCCAACAAACAAGCTGAGCCCCTCCTCTGCAGCAACACACACATTACAAGTGAGAAAACACTGATCATCTTTCATCATAATCAGCTCCACTGATCAGTCACAGAATTTATCGATGATTAAAAGAACTTTCTGTGGAATAAACAACTACGGAGTGCTGCAAAACCTTGTTTGGATCACATATAGACCCTGTATTTCAACACCTCAAAGTAATTTGACCACACCAGTAAGATGCTAAGCAATTTTCCACACCAGAATTAGAGGTACACACCCTCTGCACTGGAATCCAAGAAGCCATGGCTGAAATCCTGGCCCTGCAGGATTTTCTCTATTATGTCATCGGCGTCCACCCGCGTGGCATCGACTCGCTTTAGCTGATTCTCCACCGAGTTCTGTTTTACTGGAGGTCTGAGAAGGAAAGAGAAAAACATCTGCGGTTAATAAAGCAAATGTTTTTATAAGGTATAACGTTTAAAAATATGTACATATGGAATATACGGAATTCTAAAGGAGATATTTATGTATGTATATATGTAAAAATCTGGTTATTATTTTAGTCTAGTGTAAAGGTAGCTTTCCTAACACATTAATCAATAATAGAAGAAAATATAAGAGGATAACAATAACCAGTTTCAATAACAATTCTGTAATTGTTCTGATATTTGATGTAAATCCAAAATCACCCATCAACCTTTAATTCCATGGAAACGGCTCTGAACCAAACACTGATGTATGGGTACAGAACATGACAAACTGACTGCGTTAGATACTGATCCAGACAAGCAGCAGCGCATTTTACCTGTAAGCTCTATTTGGCGTGGAGAGTTTTTCACATGCAAAATAACAGGTTGGAGAGCCTGTGGAAGTGGGAGTGGTCCTGTTTTCTTTCTCTCCTCTCTCCCCCTGCTGATCACCGGGCTCGATGCTACCGATGCCTGTGGAGGCAGAACCTCCTGAACCGTTCCGCCTGTGGCTCAGATCTGTGGAGCTTGAATAGGTTGAACTATAGCCTGTAAGGAAATAACCAGAACTTATACAGTGACCACATTTAAAACGGGCGTTGAGTCGCATTGATCATGTTGCTGTTGCTGAAAACAGGACGGATCTTTGTTACGATACCTGACATTTTTGAGAGCTGACTTGCATAACTGGATGTTCTGGAGTGGGTGAATGCAATCAGATCATCTGGGACTGATCTCGACTTTACTGGAGTTCCTAAAAGAAGAGAGAAAAAAAAAAGAAAAAAAAAGCATTTGTCTAGAGCTTATTTCAACAAAGAAAAAGAAAAATCATGAATCAATTAATGCAACAAATCTCCTGTCTTGCAGACCGTATGAATATCTAAGTACCAGCGCCTGAATGTGATGTGCGAACGTCTCCTCCTTTTCTATCCTCAAGCAGACCCTCTGCCTCTGCTGGTGGGATTCCCAGAGTCATGGCTGTAGACGGCGGACTAAAACAGAGACAAGCCAGTCAAAACACATCAAAAAGGGTTTTGGTGAAAAATGGGAGTTACTTGCAGAATCTTAATTCCCCCCCCCCCCATCTATATTTTTGCTTTGTGAAAAAAGATTTTCATACAGAATATTGTTGTACAATACGGGTTCAATGTGGGTAGCTATTACTCAAGGGTTGGTATTATGTATTTTCCAGGCACATGGTGCCAGCCAACTGTGTCACCGTCAATTGTTATAAAAATGTTGTCTATGTATATAAAATAACACAAAATAAATCTGACGCATTGAAGTCTCTTTACGACACTCCGCCTTCAGTTAGTCATCGCAACAATGCTTCTCCAACTGTTCTTAAGAGTGTTGAACTGAGAAGTGGTTCCTATAATCATCTCAGCAGATGCCACCAGGCGTTTAACTAATTGCTGCTGCCACTAGTCTGGAGGAGTTGAGTACAAACGGAGCGGGTAGAGATGCTCTGTGAGGCAGAATCTTGGCTGGGGACTTGAGGTGCAAGGCAGAGCTTTGAGTAAATAGGCAGCAAGCATTTAAGCAACACCGAATGACTGCCAGAGACAACTGAAGAATTTCTTTAACCTGCATGAGGAGGAACCTAAAGAATCACAATCTTAGCATCATCCAAAGGTGGCATGGTGGGAGTCTCACATTTTGATCAGTCACCCAAACTTCAACTTAAGTGAAACTCTACAAGCAGCATTTAGTTTGCTTGACGTGACAGTTTCTCAATGAAAAGCCTCAGGGAAGAGCAGCCACGCCTGCCGTTTCATACAACAGGATTGTTGTATGAAACAGGATGTTTCATACAACAGGATTGTTCTGAGGTCATTGCAAACACCACCCCATTTTTTTTTAAATCGCAAGTGCATACAAACAGAGACGTAACTTTTAACACTTTATGTTATTTCTACAAGCAAGCTCCCTGTAAACACAACAAACTAAACCTTTAGAAGCTTTATGTATTTATAGTACACACATAAACAAAATATTGCTTTATGTAATCCAGCTACACGTGTGTTGTTCCTAAGCTGGGACTTCGTTTCCCCACAAGTTAGACGGACAGCAACCAGCTGTTTTCCCTCAACATCCATTTTGACTAGCGAGCTGACGCAACATCTGCTATCCATTTAGAGAAACTCATTCTGGGATCTTGATAGTGAGTTCCACTCTGGGACTTCTGGTGAACTAAACAAAAACTAAATAAAAAGTAAAATAAAAAGGGTTTCACTCACTCTTCCTAAAATAACTTCCAAGTACACTACATCCTGTTCATTTCCAATGAAGTACTTGTGTGATCACAACCTTCTAAATTGAACCTACATTTGAACTAAAATATAGAACAAAAAAAAAAGTGGCAAAGGAAGGAACATGACATTGTCACGTTAGCTCTCTCTACACAGTGAGTAATATGGCATTAGGGTGAATGACTAAGCTTTGGCTGTCCCCACGGCAACCGCTACAGTATTTAGACTGCAAACAAGACTTGAAAAGGGAAAAGAAAAGCTCATATTAGACTAAGACAGCTTTTTTTCCCCCACATGTTACATCACAGCCTTTGAGAAAAACATTGCTACAAATCAATATTCTCAGAATATGGACTCTGAGCTAGTCCGATCCCGCAGAAAGTCTTCCAACCAGTTAAGGCAGGGCAGAACACTATCTGGGTGAGGCGTTATTAGCTCACAGATAAGATCAAGTGATTCTTTCCAACTTAAAACTCTGTTGGTGATTATAGCAATAAATAAGTGTGTTTTAAGTTTAGGTGACACACAGGATGTGATGAAAATACTTTCCGTTGTGGTCAATGACAGACCTTTACACCAGTGAAACCCACTTTCATTGTAACCACGACTACAGAGAACCTGATGTGCAAGTAAAGCCTTCACACAGAGTCAATATCTGAGTCAAACAGCTCAGTAGTGTCTAGGAAGAGCTCTTACGTTTTGAAGCAGGGGTCTCCAGACATTAGCTGCATGTGAATAACAACCTGTAACCGAGACAAACACAGTGAGGCACAAGACAAGCTCTAGACTCTCCTGTAAAATATGATTTCATCAGATTACAGCCCCATGATTTGGCAAGGACATGCATGCAATAAAGTTATTCCCATGGCTGATCAAGTCACAGGCTGGGACACGTCTCAGTTCTCATAAGCTTTGCATGCACTAAATAGTTTCTAAGAAGAAATAGGTGGGAAAAAGTGAAAAAGGTTTACAAATATGGGGAAAAGATGTTAATCTTTTAAGAGTTTTATTCAGCAAAATTAATGACGTACTATTCTGGTCACAGATTTCTATGAATGCAAGATGAAAATTTTTTACCACAAAACGCTGCTACAAAGTTTAAAAAACAAAACTGAATGCAGATGTTTGAATTTGTCTTAGATTTTCTCTCGTCAGCAGCATAAGGCCAAAATAATGCATATGGGCTTGAATACATACATAACCTTGCCCCCATATTTGATGAATGTCTCCAAGCAAGCTGCACATTGACTGCACACTTTTTGCACCAATCAGCTGGATTCTAGTTGGATAAAATCTACTATTGGTCTTTTAAAATGTTACATTGTCCTGACATGGAAATAGTTTAGCCTGTTTGGGATTCATTGTCCAGTCGTGGCATCCAGTATTCAGGCTTCATTTGATACAATCGTCCGTATGGGTCAGAAAGAGAATCGGTCAGGATGTTCAAGAACAACTCTGTTAGCAACACTGTCCAGAAAGAAGTTTTATATTTTTGTACACAAAAAGAAACTGAACATCAATCTGGTGCATTGCATGCCTCTCTCTCTACTCATTTCCTGTCTGAAACACTGAAACCTACCAGTGCGGAAAAAAAAAAAAGAAAAAAAAATCAATTTGCTAGGGGACATTTACCAAAATATTGTTATGTAGATATACATCTAAACCTATATTGTGCAATTTTGTCTCTGTTTAGACTTAAGAAATCTACAATAAATTCATTGATGAATAGATAGAAAAAAGTCTAACCAGAACTGTGTAAGTTAGAGTTGCAGAGTTGTATGCTGATTTATGAGCATACCTTTAGAATGGAGTTGTCTTGTCTGGTGTTCTTGGTGTCATATCCCTCTAGCAGACACCGTCGCACAGTGCTGCCAGACCCAGCAAACTCTGATAAGTTCAAGTTGGCAAATCCAAGCTGGAAGTGATCAAACAGTGGAAATACTGAGATTGGAGCTTCTGCTGCACAAATCTCGACATCAATAAGTAACTGTTTATTTGTGCAGAGATTATAGTTTTGTGGACTGGAATGTTGAAAGACAGAATACACACAGAAAGATGAGTCACTTCCGAGACTCATTAAAGTTACTCGTTAACACGGGTCAGATTTCGACTTAGTCACCAAAGCTGGGGGGGGGGGGGGGGAACCCCGCCCGCTAAAAAAAATTGTTCCACTTATTTTTTTAAAAGAAATTATTACTTGTTTTTTTTAATTCAACTGTATTACCCAGTATTTGGAAGTGCTTTGTCAACAACATGTTTAATGTCATTAGAGAACAAATGTTACCTTTGCAAAAGACTTTCCCCCTTTGAGTTCCTGAAAAAATAAACACAGAGCAACACTATAATTTGCATCACAGTTTAAACATTAAAATAAATTAACAGAATTTTATTTGGGGGGGAAAAAAAATCCTGGACTCAGTTCTAGAAAACAGATTTTTTTTTTTTTTTTTTTTTTACGTTTTTGATACGTTACCTTTCGTACCGACACTCGGCACATGCAGGGGTCCAGCACCCCCGTCCCTGCGTTGGCACTCATCTTACAAATGAAAGAAAACCTTTTCTTCCAGTGCACACAGTTGGCTTGGACAGGCTCTCTGGGAGACAAGGGCACATTTCACAAACTGAACACACACAGACCATCTTGTCAAACATTTGCAGGATCTATAGCTTGATTTCAGTGTGGGTACTGGAATTCCTGTAGGTGTATAAAACCCGCAAACAGTTAACGTGCGTCACATAGACTGCAAGATTGCAATGCATGTGAAGCCATTCGGTCTACTCAGAAATACGCAAATGAATTTTTAAAAAATGAAAGTAAAAGTCTGATTTTGTTTTGGCTATCAAAATTGGTTTGAACCTCCTGACCTGTTTGGGTTTTTAAAAAAAAAAACATTTATCTGTTCTGCTCTGGGATTTCACGTGGAATTTGGGGCAGCACAAAGATAGGCGAGTTAGGTTAATTAGTGACTCATAAGACGCCATATATTAATGTGTGAGGGACTATCTGTCATTTTGGGTATGAAATCAGTATGTACCACACCTCGTCACATAATAACTATGATAAACTTCAAAGACAGAGAAAGAAGGAGGAGAAGGCTTATGGTGCGTGTTTTGTATTCAGTACAGGACATTATGGATTGCTGTTAGATTGGTTTGATTACATTCATGCCACATATTGACTTTTATTTTATGTTCCCTTGAGTTCAAGATCAGGACCAACAACTACAACACTTGTCTAGTTTGGACATCTCTGAAATCTCTGTTTAAATGAATCAGCTGCAACAATGCTGTTGCATTGATATTGTTTTTATTGACTGAAGAATTGATCAGATTTTTCTTGCTCAATATAAATTACTATATTTCTTTAATACCTGAACTGCCTATTCTAATTATAATATAGATAAATTTCCTGTCTTAAAACTTTTAAAATTATAGCTAGTTAGTTGGCCTGAGTCAAAGTATCAGATGCTCCAAGGCGTGTTGCTTAGCAACTGGTTTAACCAGCTATAGCAAACATCGGCTAGTATAAATCTATATCTTCAGGAAAAGAAAAAAAAACTGAACTCAAAACTTCATAAAGTGTCTCCAGTTAAAATAAAGTTTGCCACCGTTTTTGTCAACGAGGCTACAGCTGTTGGTGAGTATCAAAATGCTGAATGTTAGGTGAAGTTATTAGCCAAGTGTTTATGGATTAATGTTCCGCATGAAACAACGCCACTGCGCAACTGAAAAAAATAAACAACAACAACAAAACCAAACAAGAAAACAATCCGTCAAACTAGATTTGAAATTGGTGAAAAACATATTTGACTGTAGCTTAGGTTAGTTGTGCTTAAGCTATAAATAGAAGCGAAGCCTTACCGAGACGACTCCTGTGCAAAGCCTCCGTCCAAGAGTCTCACTTTACAAAATAAAACTCCGTTTACGAAAGGAACCGACGACAGCTCCTCCAAGTCAAAGTCTATTTTGAACTTAAACTTCTTTTTCTTCATGAGGATGAAAGACATGGCGACTCTACGGTGGGACGACTGGGAGCAATGAGAGGAGCCTTTGAAGCGGAGAAGCTGACAGACTGAGTCGCCTCGCAGCTATGAGGGTGAGTTGAGTTGCTCTCTACCGCAGACAGGATTCAAAGTTTAAAACATTTCCTTCCCACCCACCACTTGTGACGTGGGGAAAACCCGGGATTTGATTGGACGTACCGGGGGACAAAGAAAAACACCGAACTTATAAATCTTCAGTTTAAAATAAATCTATTTAAAATCGGCCAACTGAAAGAAGAAGTAACCGAAGGGATGTTTCCAGGTTAATGCACTCTAGTGACATTAGTCCTGTGACTTAACTGGGACTTTGTGAGAGAAATGGGGATGCCCATCTTTAATGTCAAGTGACAAAAATACTTTTAAATGAAACTGTATGGTTATTATACACAGAGGAATGTACATATCAAATGTTTAATGATATTACTAATTACGTTTATATATGGCTTGAGAAAAACCCAAAAGAAAATACAAAAGGATTGTAAAGGATGCAACATAATACTGCTATATTGCAAATCGATTTTTATTTATCTTATTTCATAGGTCTCTTGCATTTAAACTTGAGTTTTTCCATCAAAATTATATCACCCTATGTAGCAAATAAAAGTAATGCATGAATTTTACATTTTAAGGTAAGGTTGTGAAATAAATTAACTTTTTCAGGGACATTCTAATTTATACTTGTTAGATACACATTTGACAAACATTCACAAATACAAAGAAGTCTCACTCTGCTTAAAAGCGTCACTAGCCCCCATATGATAATGGTCAATGTTTTAAGCCAGCCTGGGTTAAACACACTCCTTTATTTTCCCAGCATAACAGAACTCTGCCTTGACAAATACTGTTATTTGTTTGGTTGTTAACACCAAACAAGGTGACCTTATGGTGGCTCTCAGAAATGAACACATCACTGTTTAAATTCCAGGTTTTGGACTATAGAAACGGAGACTGTGATAAATCATTCAAAATCTTTTTCTCTTGACAAACAAGATATTTTTTCTCATTTGTTAAGAAGATAAAAGCAAAAGCTAAAACAATTTCAATAACCTGGTTGGATAATTGTGGACACTCTTGAATTTTGTCAAGCCCTTTTTGGTTCAGTTTTAGCACCATCTCCTCTTTGTTCCCATGTGAGATAAGGAATATTTAATCTGAAACAAAGCTTAATTGACCTCTTAAGGTTTTCTATTTGCTCATTTTCATAATTTGGCTAAAGACGTTGGTTGTACAGGGGTTACAAAAGGTCAAAAGCCACTTGTTGTACTAAGGTATCAGCAAGGAGAAGAGTATAGAGAGTATTTGTTTTTTCTATATTTTACATGTGTAAAAGACGAGTGAAATGTTATCCTGTGCTCTTCATATCTCAGGAACAGGGCAGAAGAATTTCTTTCACCCAATCCGGGCCAACACCTCTCAAAACATAATGTTGTGATCTGAAGAAACCAGACTTTTGATTTTGGCTCAGATTTTCAAAGGATCTGTTTGGCACAAAACAACAACACTACATGTCAACAAACAAACAAACAAAAAAAAATCAAAAAATCTCCATGTCCACTCTGAGAAATAGTAATGACAGCGTCTTACTTTGCGCTTTCCTCTTCTAAGATGGAACTGAGATTTTTCTCAACGTTCAGGAAGTGGTAAATTGTTAAAAAAATATATATATGTCATCACGACAGTTGCTTAAAACATACATCCAAGGCAACAACAAAATCACTTCGCAGAATGAAATTGAACTTTGGTAAAGGCATTGATTCCTGAACAAAGTCGGACTCTGACATATCATTTCTTGTGAGATATCTCAAAATCAAATACATTTCAGGAGGCTTTGAAAAGAAAAGCAGGCCAACAGCTGGAGATGTGGAATGGTGACAGACTCCTACCAAAGGACACTGAATCCTGACAATTAATAGGTGCTTCAACATAGCATTTGTTTATATTTGTGCACCCATGTGATCAATCATCATGTTTTGGATTAGAATCATCAAAAGCGTGGTTGCAGTGGTTTGTCTCCAACCACTGCAACCACGTTTCTGATGATTCTCAGTCATCAGAAACATCACTGTCCTAAATCCTTAAGTAGAAGGTAACCGGACTGAAGACATTTCATGTTTGATCCAAAAAGAAATGAGACATGAAGAAGTCATATTCACATTTATGCAACTGGGTTATTGCAGCTTTTGTATCTTTAAGGAAAGAAAAAAAAACATACAATAGACTTTTGTTAAAACAATAACAACAATAAAGAAGAAATTAAAGAAAATGTGTATGTTATCATGTTTAGATTGTATTGTTGCAATCATTATTGTAGACACATTAATTTTTAGTTTATTATTCTTTTCGACATTTTGAGACTTTATTTAATGTTGCTCTGCATTGCTATGGAATGCAAACATTACTTATAATCATGGTTTCTATGATTATGCCACTTCATTTTATTAGTTGTAGTATTGCTAGTTTTATCTTCGTCCATTTCTCTTTACTTCTTCAATGATAAAATGTCGCCCTCTGCTGGCGTCCAGCAGGACTGCCATTATGAAACTGCAACGCTCAGTGTTTCTCTCTGTGCTGACACGTCCTTCCAGATAAGCAGATTACATTTCCTCGGAAAGGCTTGGTAACATATCGCACTAAAAAGCGGCGGTGAAAGATACAAGTTCACTTTAACGAGCGTGAAACAGATAGTGAACGCAGCTAATCCGGAAAGAGGTTTATTTGGTCCCTTTTCAACCATCCTTCCCGCTTTTTCGTAGCGAGCACCGAGAAGACACGCAGCAGCAGTAGCTCCGCCCTCGGTTGCTGCAGTTCCTTACAAGCGCTGGTTGCAGAGTACACCTTGGTTGGAGACAAACTGCAAAAACACCGTAACCAGCGAACCTTTTCTCTCTTTCTTTTTTTTTCCGTCATCGCCATCGAGGAGTTCGCGTGTGGATTATAAGTGGGATTATTGAATGATTGTCAATATGGATTAATCATCAGATTATGGTTTGCCGGACGGACGGTGCGTCTGCACGCTGCTTCTACAATAGCTCGGCAATGTATCAAGCGCTACGGACTTCTTTACTGTCAAGTGCCCTATGCTGGGATGCCGACAGTGTGCGGTCCTACCAGGTTCTGTTTGATAAACTTGACACTAATAAAGATGGTAAGGTGGATGTGGCTGAGTTACGAGTGGGCCTCAAAGCTATGGGGATATTTCGCCACGGTGCTGCTCAGGTAACTCGAAGCAGGAGATCCAGTGCACTGTAACCCATATAAGTTTCAAGTCTTGGGCTGGATCTTTCGCAAGATTTCATTCTAGGATGACATTTTGTGAGAGTGTGGCCTGACTGATTCTAGATGTTTCCTCGTTTCTTCCTGTAGAAAATTGTGTCATCTGGAGGCCAAAACAACGATGGATCTTTGGACTTCAATGAGTTTACCAAATACCTGAAGGACCATGAGAAGAAGCTCTTGCTGACTTTCAAGAGTCTGGACAGAAACAACGACGGTAAGCGACGGAGAGTCACTGAAAGCTCACCATGCCACTTGCACGATGATATTTCATGTGATCTTTCCTTTTTTAAATGTGTGTCAGGACACATTGATGCCACAGAGATCCAGCAGGCTCTTGCAGAGTTGGGCATACATGTCAGCAGGGAGGATGCCCAGACGATTTTACAAAGGTTTGACCTTCTCTTCTATGCACTGCAACCTAGGTTTTTAAAACATGTCAAGTGGACAAAATAAATAAAAGGTTGTGTTTTCTCAGCATGGACATCGATGGGACCATGACGGTTGACTGGAACGAGTTCAGAGAGCACTTCCTGCTGTACCCTGCCTACAACCTGGAAGAGATCATCCGCTACTGGAAGCACTCCTCGGTGAGGCTGGAAACAGAAACACTTTGTGAGGCCCATTCTGCCCACACTCTGAGGCAACTGCAGTGGAATAAATCACATGTCCTCCACTCCTCTTCAGTTAGATATTATGGATTTTTTTTTTTTTTTTCAGTTCACAATTGAGAGCAGCTCTCCCTTTATTAGGCCACAGCACCGTGTTGTGTTTCTCTCTCAGATTGTTATTGTGCTTCTTTCTAAATTGGTAGTGGTCTAATGTTTGGACTGGTGGGTTACCCACACTTCACAGAACCTCTCTTGACAGAACCTGTCCATGAATATTTCCCTGCATACCACACTGAAATGTGCAACAGCCGTGACTGCAGGACAGATAACCGCCTCTGCAACCCCCGTTTTCGTTTCGCAACAGATTTGCATTAAATAGCCACAAAACAATGTTGTTGTTTTTTTTCTCTTTTTGTCTAAGGCACCTTCATGTTTTCGGGAAAACATTAGCTTTGTTTATCTAAAACAGCTTAAGCCTGTCAGCCAAAGGTTCAGATAGCTCAGTGGCCATAACTTTGTTGGCTCAAATCAAAGGACAACTCCCTCTTGTTGTTCCTCCCTCCTTTTTGTGAGCTGTTTCAAGTTTAAACTGCTAGAGCCGTGCGAGGTTCCTGGTGTATCGGCTTTCCGGTTAAAACTTTACATTCAAGGTAATGCAAATGTTGTCAGACGAGACTTAAACATAGTTGCTACACAACTGTGAAAACAGAAAGGAGAAGTTGAGCTTGCAGATTTTTTTTTTTCACTAACCACACAGACAGTGTTGCATGTCCCTCTCTTGTCAGAAAACGCTGTTAACTCAACAATTTACAGTGCAGGCTCGTTAGAGAGGTAATTCATATTTATTTGTTGTCAGCTACAGAGCCGTCTGCTTAACAAAGTTAATCCATTTTTAATAAGATTTAGGTAGAGGTCATCTCAGAAGCCTTCATATTTCCTATTCCTGCAGGAATAGCCATCTGTGCTAAAGTGTCAATTATTTGACCCGGTATGTTAGTCTCAGGTGAAAGGAAATTGTTTAGCATGTCTAATGAGAATGTCTATCAGAAAGTGAACGATACTGGAGTACTAGCAGCACTGTCTGCAGTGAGGCGAGTTTGAGG